AAAACAAATTAAAGAAGAACACACTCAAGTCATAGTAATTACTTTAAATTTAAATTTAAACGCCATAATATTGTGTAATAAATGCCAATAATAATTTTTACAGTAAAACCTTTACGGCCTATAATAATTAATAAACTATTGGATGATGTACTCTCAACTTATTTTCAATTAGTAATATGTTTTTCCCCTTAATGGATAAACAATGAGCCCAAGGGAGCCCATGAGAAGAAAGGCTATACTCAAGTGAGAACTATAAGGTACATCCAGTAGACGTAACTTTCAGTTCTGAAAATAGATATTTGACACCAGTATTTATGGACAGTCCCAAGACTGTTCCCGACATCTCCCCTCCAAATCTTGAAACGCTTTAGGAGTTTATCCCAATATCGATAAAAAAAACTGTAAAAAGACTTATAGTTGGAAATTTCTTACTTCAAACAAATAAGTTGGTCTGGTTTATTGGTGATATTGGTGTTTTGGGTTTATTCTGAGTTCTTCTAGTTGTCACATTGACAAGATTTATAAATATCCACTATCAATGTAAAACATTTATTGCTTTATTTATTTAATAAATTATGAAAAGATAAACATGATTTATTTAATAATTTCCACCGCCTGCGGCCAAATCACAGATAGTATCCCCTCGAGTACTTAATCTGACTCACAAGCTACATATGTTAGTATTGACCATTTGGCAACGATAACTTGATTTCGAAGTTATCAGGTGAAACTGTCGGTCTCACCTAATGATAGCACATATATTTCTGGGTGCACATGGCTTTGCCTCGCGTTGGCAACTAATATTTGTTTACGCCAACAGAAATTTCAGTGCGAAAACTTCCACTGACAAGGTAAAGCACCAAAGCAGACCGATTATACAATTCCGGGAACCTTGGGTTAAAGGGCATTAAAGTAAAAACATTTGCTTAAAGGAAATGGAGATAAAAGATATCATGCCGAAATTTTACCTCATACCTTTTGCCAGTAAACTCGGCCACTTTAAGTTGAAACCCCTAAGCCCTTAATATGAGTAAATATTTGCCAATTTACTGATATCTTTAAGTAGATATCAAGTCCAACTATAAAAACTGAATGGATAGATATTGGGCCAGTTATTTCATTCGCAATGGCAGACCAGCACTTAATAGTGGCCAAAATCGTGGCCATTGTGGTGCTGCTCCTGGTGACCCTGATCTTTTGCTTTATTCCCTACCTCCTGGATCGCTTCTACAAGTGGACCCAGCGACCCGAGAACAATGCTCGGGAGTTTAAGGTGGTGCTGTGCCTGCTCAACTTCGGCGGCGGGGTGCTTATAGCCACCACCTTCATCCACATGCTGCCGGAGGTGGTGGAGGTGGTGAACGCTCTCCAGGATTGCCGCATGCTGGCGTCCACTCCTTTTGGCCTCCCAGAGGTCCTACTCTGTACCGGCTTCTATCTGATGTACTGCATCGAGGAAACCATGCATTTCTTTGTGCGTCGGCGACAGCAAAGGAGGCTACAGGAGGTGGTCACCATCAAGGAGGCGGGCGAGGATCTCTCGATGGAGGTGGTAGTCCAATCCGAAGAAGCACCCAAGGAACCCAACTGGCTGCGTGGCCTGGGCATTATCGTGGCCCTTTCCCTGCACGAACTCTTTGGCGGCATGGCCATCGGCCTGGAGATGAGTGTGAGCACGGTGTGGTTCATGACCGGCGCCATCTCGGTCCACAAACTCGTCCTGGCCTTCTGCATCGGCATGGAGATCATGATGGCCCACACCCGGTGGCTGCTGGCCGTCGTCTACCTCCTGGTCTTCTCCATAGTAACCCCCATTGGCGTGGGCATCGGGATCGCTGTCAGTGAATCTGCCGAGGCTAATCAGCCAAGCACGGTCTCGGGAATCCTTCAGGGCCTCGCCTGCGGCACTCTGATCTACGTGGTCTTCTTCGAAATTGTGGCCAAAAACCATGCCGGCATACGGGTCCTACTCTCGTCGATGGTGGGATTTGTCCTGATGTTTGGCCTCCAGATAGCAAGTAAGTGCTTTCAGATTCCACAATGGTTGTAAACCAATAACTCATTTTCTTTTTTAGTCGGAGAAGCCAAGGGCAAGAGCCACTTCACATGCCCTTAGCGAATATTCGAATACTTATAGATTTAGTAGCGATCGATCAAGTACATACTTTCCTTTATGTGCAACACGTTGTACACCTGTGTACAAAGGAATAGAAGGCCAACAAAGAAAACCAATGCCATATATAAATGTCAAAAATAAATTAACAAAAAATAAACTAGATATTTTAAAAAATAAACTTTGTTTGCATCGATGTCTAAAGTTATGCGATCAAAGATTTTCGTATTTGTCCAATCCGCTGGGAGAATTTAAGAAAGAAGAGCCTTGTTTTTCCAAAACGTACATAAATAATTTAATTAAAATGTGAAATATTGAGGTTTTAAAGTTTCTTTGATATCAAAACAAGGCTTTTATTAATGTTAAAATACAGGATTGGGTTTTTTCAAATATAACTTACACAAGAATCCTTACTCTCTTTAAAAATAGATCATAACAAGTCCACGTTTATGAGGACAAGTTACGCTACTACTGGCTACATCGCATTGACTTTTGACTAAGATCATCAATATATATTATTTAAATGGTTTAAATCGTTTCATTAATGTTTGTTTATCTAAGCCTAATAAAAGTAAGTTCGTCCGTGAGCATGAAAAAGACAGGAACTTGAAACTTGATCTCAGTAGATCACAAAATTAAAGTAAGTCCTTAAAAAAAAACTATTGAATAATTGTTCAAAGCTCGCATTTTTGTGGTTACATTCAAAAAATTTGTTAAGTGTATCATTTTTATCAAAAATAGCCTGTCTTGAACCACACTTCCGAACTACCCCAACAAAACTACGCTCCCTTCAGTCTTTAAATTCGCGAAGAGCCCCTAACTATGATTCGGTTATCTGTAAAATCCACCTGTCCATGGGACAGCGAATGAGATAACAACATTGTAGGACGGCGGTGGCTCGCTGTCTGCCTTTGAATCCGCGTATCAATCAGCGATCAGATTTCAATCACCTCCCGCTGATATATGACTGCCGATATAAGCCATTCGTCTGCTCGTGAATTTCAGCCAGCTCAGTCGAAGTTCGGAACTCGGGAAGTCAAGATGAGCGGTGCGGGGAATGCGGCGAAGGATCACCAGGCACTCCTGGTGGCCAAGATAGTGGCCATGGTGGTGCTCGTGGTGATCACCGTGCTCTGCGGCAGCCTGCCGTACATCCTGGACAGATGCTTCCTGTGGACCAAGAAGAGTCCGGAGGAGACCCGCTCGTCGGCGGTGGTGCGATGCCTCCTCTTCTTTGGCGGCGGTGTGCTCATCTGCACCACCTTCCTGCACATGCTGCCCGAGGTGATCGAGGTGGTGAATGCTCTCCAGGAGTGCGGTTTCCTTGCCCAGACACCCTTCGCCCTGCCGGAGATGCTGCTCTGCACGGGCTTCTTCCTCATGTACGCCTTGGACGAGCTGATGACCAGTGTGGTGCGTCGCCACCAGCGGAAGCTCAGTCGGAAGGAGTCGGTGGCCAGTTTGGCCTTTGTAAGGGGTTGCAGCATCCGGCACAGCACTCTGCTCAAGGCTCATTTGAAAGAGGAACCAGAAGTGCAGGTGATAGAGCCCCAGGCACCAAAGGATCACCACGGCCATTCACACATGCCCGTCGGATCCGGCGAGGGATCCTCTGTCCGGGGTCTGGGCATCATCCTGGCCCTATCCCTGCACGAGCTATTCGAGGGCATGGCCATCGGACTGGAGGGCACTGTGAGCACGGTGTGGTTCATGTTTGGAGCGGTGGCCGCTCATAAGCTCGTCCTGGCCTTCTGCGTAGGGATGGAGCTGCTGGTGGCCCGAACCCGCAGCTCGCTGGCCATCCTGTACCTGGTGACCTTCTCCATTGTCACGCCCATCGGCATCGGCGTGGGTCTGGGCATCAGCCAGCATGTGGTAGCCGGTCAGCCCAGTCTGCCCTCCGGAGTGCTCCAGGGCATCGCCTGCGGAACCCTGCTCTATGTGGTCTTCTTCGAGATACTCACTGAGAGCCACGCCGGGTGGAGAGCCCTTGTGGCCGCCGTAGCAGGATTTGCCTTGATGTTTGGCCTGCAAATACTTTGTAAGTTATAACCAGATGACTAACGTTGAAATCAGTTACTAATTTATGTTTTCTCTTTTGCAGCTGACGAAGCTGAGGGCGATGACAGTCTTACTTGTTCCTAGAATTGGTGCCACCACTTCAGTATTATAAAGTTTTCCTCTTTAACCATATTTATTTATTAAGTTAATAAAATAAAGAGAAAGAGTCTTTAACTAAAATTAGGAACTCTACACACACACAAAGTTCATGGGTAAAATTGTTTTTTTTTACCAATAAATAGTAATACCAATTTACCAATAAAAATAAAATGGTATACTGTGTGTACTTCGTTGTTGGGAGAGTAACTATTTCGATCGTAAAATTGACAATTCAATGGGTTGGGACCATTTCACTATTTTATTGGTCAATTTTAAATAATAATTTTTTTCTTGTGCATTGTCTACATCGGACAATTCTTAATAGAAAGTATGGTTTCTATAGCTCGCTTTTTCCATAGTTTGAATACAGCTTTAACTTACCATGAATTTCAAACTGTAACGTCAAAGTTGGCGGTTAAATTCGAATTAACAGGAACTCATTTAAACATTTTAGGCGCTAACATAACAGGCTTTTGACTTAACAGCACCCGGTAACATTTTATCACGCGGCCGCAAAAAATATCGATATCCATATCGTATAAATTCAAATTTAAAAAGTTCTTTATAATAAATGCTTTTATCCATAGTTAACGTTCGATAACTTAGATTATTGGCTCATATGGAAATTTTACGAAATTACTATCTTGCGATTATACATTTTTCGATACTTTATATCGAAATTTTCCACCCTCTGCAGGCGTTCGGTTAACAGCCGCTGTTACGGCAACGGTCAGATGATGTTCCAATTGGAGTGCGGACGGTCGTGTTTGTGTGGTGGGCGATTCGATATTCTTAAATTTTTAAGGGCTCCGTCGGCCGAGATTGCCTTCTTTTTGCTCTCGTCAGAACGCGTTAAGTAATCAATTAAAAACCCGCGATTGGGTGCGTCGAGAGTTTTCCACCGCTTCCCGTGTGCATCTGAAGCGCTTATATCCGTGATTTCCGCTTTCGAGTGCACTTTTGTATTGTTTATACGACCTCCGGTCCGGTCGCCCCACATTTCTGGTGAACTTGTGCCGTCGAACGGTGTTGTCATTTCCCCGCCCCCCCGCCAAAAAAATCGAAACTCCCGCACAGTGGGCGGTAACGCAGGGCGAAGTCGATAGATAATAATTTTCCACAAAAAAAATCCAAAGTTTGCGCAGTTCTCAAACCAATACATACAGCACCGTTTCAACGGAGTTATTGGCGTTTAATCATTTTTTTTCAACACCACAAAACGAATTTAAAGCTCATTTGGGTGCTGCAGCGCATTCATCCCACTGTGCAAGGGCGGCAGAAATTCATAAAACAACGGATAACAAATTCGACGAAGAGAAATACATAAAGGAAATAAAAGAGAGAGCGAGCTTATTTGGTTATTTTAAGACCTGCCTGCACAACAACTACAATCAGTATATTAATCAGCTTATAATGTAAGATTCTGCAATGACAAAGGACCAAGATCCAGCTAAGGTTGTATTTTAGCCCAGGAACCCAGGAATTCCACAAAACCAGCAAGAACATCAGGTAAGAAACGAATAAACAAAAATGTGTTTAATATATCAAGTGATACGTTGACCCTGTTTATATTTCGGTAAAAACATTTCTTTATGTACATGCCCAGTGCAAATGCGTAATTTCCACTCAAAAGTCTCGTATTCAAGTTCCACAATTATGATAAAATATTATTTGTTTTTATTTTATCTTTAGCATTGATGAGTTAACAAATTTTGTTTTATTTTCGTTGTTTTCCACAACCTGCGTCTTTGATCGAGTGGGGACTATTTATAGGTCGGCTGTTTTGGACTCGTTTTGGCACGACTGGTGAATTTATGTATATTTACTGTGAACGTTGAGGAAATACTTGAAGAGCCAGACGCGCTTTTATAAGTTTTTCATTGTTTTGTTTAAACTGAAAGTGATTGCCTCTTATGCAGTTGGCATTAAGTACTTCATGTAGTGACTCAACAGTGACAGATAAGACAAACAAAGCGGGTGTGCTTTTTATGGGTATGTTATCTTCGTATTTGTTTTGTAAATAGGGTATGCATCAGCCCTGATCAATATATTACTGACAAATAGATACCACTGTAGAAAAAAGCTCCAGTACTAGGGAACGAATCTTAGGTAGTTAATGATATGATAGAAAAGTGGTTGTTTCAATACCATTCAATCAAGACTCCTCCAAAAAGATAAACCCAAACAGTTTGAGTTCCAACTTACCTCAACGCCCCACTCATCCACACTTGCTCCATTTACATAAGCCCCGGGATTGGATGGTAGTGGTGGGTGGGAAAGGGGGTGACTTTGAAGGATGAAGGCGAGATGAGATGCTGGTGAACCGCAGTGACTGTAGCACAGTTTCGGGCATTTTCGCTTGTCACACACGCGCCGCCATTTTGCTGCTCCAGTCATTTGGCTTTTATTGCCTTTGTCTTCGGCACCCTCCAGGCCCACCCAGTCCCCACTATTCAAAACCCAGTGGCAGGAGTTGCACAAGTTGCCCAATCACCCAAAGAAAATATTACTGGCACTTTTGTGTGCCATATATGTATGTAAACTTCTACATGTTTGTGACCACTTAACAAGTTCTTTTACCATCTTATTCGCATTTTCAGTTTTCAATTGCCAAAAAATAAGAAAACTCTGATAACCTCTAAAGATTTCTGTACTACTAAGATAATGTTTATATTAGACATTAACACAAGTAGATTCAGAACCTATGACGATCTTTAATAAAAAAGACAATGTTTACTAATACTTCACTCCCCTTAAAATTTAAAAATAATGTTGATATAAAAATGATGATCTAATAATATAAAGTTATACTTTTTTTCTCAGTGTGGTTGAAGATATTAGATTTAGTGCCTTGACTTACATACCAACTTGAGTCTATGCAGACGCTTTTTTGGCTTCAATTTTGGGTTCTTTTTGTCGTTCTGCAAATTTGATTTACTGTAATCGAAAACCATTCTCTTGGCTGTCGTCCTTGAGCCAGCGATTTCTTGATTTTTATGCATTTCGAAGCCGTAATGTGTCTAGATTTTTTGGCTTAGGAGCCATTGACCCTCAAACAGCTCATAACAGTTTGAAAACGGCAGTGCGGAGGATGGGGAAAAACCGAAAACAACTGTCTCTAGCAGCTGATAAAACCGGTAAGACCTTTGTGCATTTATTATTATGATTATTTTGTTTTGCTGTTTATCCGTTCTGCCGGATAATGTGTGTCAGCAGTGAGCGGTGGTGAGTCCAACAGCTGATTGCCAATGCGTGTGAGGCGAAATCGAAAGAAAACCTCTAAACCGGTTTTTAGAATCCAAATGTCGCCCCTGCGATTTGTATCACAACTGTGTTAATAATGCTAATTACTCTAAAGACGCTTCATTAGTTCCACAGTACTCGCATTAGTTCAAAATGACTTAATTATACATCCAAATTGGTACATGCATAGATTTTTTTAATGTTGTTGAGGTTTCGGATGAGTCGAAATATTGCTAGACCAAGTATTACCAGCATTTTTTAGATTCATTTTTCTACAAAAAAAAGTATTCATAGAAAAATACTATTTTTACAATAATTTGGCGTCGACAAGATGAGTATTAAATTAATACTTTCCAATGTATTAAATTGAAATTATTTGGTTTAAAAATAAAACCACAAATTCAAATACTATACTCTTTAATATGGAAATTACTTGCAATACTGCATCTGGTATACTTGTAATACAGCCGGTATTAAAACTTATTGTTTTTTTTGTGTGTACTGCAAAGCCTTATGAACAAACAAAATTGTTGCTAATTAACTTAAGTGTCTTACCTTTGTTGTATAAGATTACTGTATCTGCTTCGTGATCTGGAGACGAATTTAATTATTTCACAAACCGCTTTGGGAGAATCAATGAAGGATTGTTTGACATTTAAAGTGCATAAAATGGTAATATGTCAAGCAACAAAGTTGCATTTGATTTATTCGCATTTCTCAACGCATTTGATGGATGACGACTGTATTTTACGTTACTGATTAAACTCCCACATGCATGTTTAAACCACTTTCCATCGTTCATTATACGACCTTCCAATGAGTTTAACATGCAATTAAGGCATTCGTCTTGGGTACCTAATCCTTAACTAAGGGCTTTGATTTGGGCACGCGAATATAAACCTTTTAGAACAATCAAAATATTTGGCCTTCAATGAAATTAACACAAATTTAAAATAGATGACTACAAGTTTTTATGATATTTTAGATAAAAAAATAACAATCTATATGTATTTCTTTTAAAACTTATTATAATATAACTGCATAATAATTACTGAAATACGATGATCTTTTCGATGCTGTTTGAATAACTTTCAAAAAAAAGTATATCAAAATAAATCTACTATAGTATCCAAATAACATTAATAATAGCCATTTTTAGAGTTTACATAATGAAAACTTATACAAATAAAATAATATTCCTAACTCTTGAAAAGATAAAGATAAAAGATTATAAATCTAACTTAGAATTGGTTTTATCCGTGTAATCGAATCAACAATCTTAAAATATTCCTGAAAACGATATCAGATTTAGGGTATTTGAAAGTCGTTTTCTCTTGGGATGCACAAAATATGAAATACTTTGTATTATAAACACAAAAACCGAAGACATGCGACGGAATCTAATGATGTCAACTGGTAAATTTCCATTGCGTCAAGAGAGGGCAGACAGGCAGAGGCGAAGAAGAAGTGTTTAGTGGTGGGAAATGCGTCGGGGCACTTGGAAATTAAAAACTCCCGATGCACAAGCAGGGAGCTAGAGGGAGACAGAGCACTGCGAGTGAGTGAGGGAGACGGAGGCAGCTGGGAAGGGCAGGGAAATCGCTGTTCAGTCAGTTCAATTTGAAACGCGAAGAAAGCAACAACTGTCTAGAGTGCAGGAAGTGCCTAAGCCAACAACAAGTGATTTTCCTACAGAGTTGCGCTAAATTGATTGTTTGGACCACTGGCTGTCGATTTGTTTATTCGACTCGAGTTCAGCGGAGACGAGATATCGGGAAAACAGTCGACAAAGGAATGGTTTTATCGCCACCAGATACATTTGCGCGTAAGTGGAGCAATTAGGAGCAAACAAAGTACATTTTCACCCGGCTGTCACATGATCAGCAAAAACAAATGTCATACAACTCGGAAAAAGTACATAAATACACTAATAATCCACCGAGTAATTCGCAGACTGCGTGACGCTCTGCTTAATTTTCGATGGCGAATTTGCCGCAAAGCGTTTTACTCGTAATTACATCATATGCTCCTCCAACGACCTTGTCACCCCCTTTTTGCCACCCAATGCTGGGAAAAATGCCCTTGGGTAGGCTTAAACTGGAATTTTTAAACTGACAGTGCATAAATCCATTAAATATGCCTCAACAATAGATATAATATCTTCAATCAGCCCTTGATTAATGCTTGATTAATTAATGAGAACTGTTCGAATGATTGATTAATTCAGAATCGATTATGAATAATTCATTAATTCCATTTTGATTGCTCTGCTTGTTCGCATGCGAATGCACATCTCCTAGCTCTAAATTTCAGTCAACGGGTTTATAACTCTATTCTAATTTGCAATTTGCAATTTGCCATTTCATTTGCATATTGCATTTCACATTCAACCTTTTGGGCTTCGCTCTGAAAACCCGTGTCGAGAGCAAAATTAGAAAATAAATGAAAAACACCCCAGCCTTGAAGTTGTTTACACGCACAGCCGAATGTCCGTTTTTTTTTGCCAAGTTGCCCTTTTTTAAAGGGCGGAACGAGTGGCAAAACAAAGCCCTTTGTCTTGGTCCGAATTTTTTGTGTATTTTTTGAATTCTCATCCAAACATCAAGGAAATATTGCGTTTTAGAATTGTCCCAGTGAACCGGATTAAATTAGTTCTGGAAATTTCTGGAATACTTCACTCTTATACCCCAGAAGAGGGAAATATACCTAAGTGAAAGTACAAGTTTTTAAGGCAGTTGTTCAGACATATATGTATATCATTTTCATTTAGAATTGGATGCTCATTTTAACGTTTATTGAAGGCAGGTTAAAATTGATTATTCTTATCTAATAAAACAATATATTATAGTCTTAACTTATTTTTTTAAAATCAGCTTATTCATCTTTCGATTTTCAATTCCTTGTTGAATGGTATAAATATTTACCTAGGAGTTTAGTTAAATTAAAATAACAACAACTAAATGGTAAAGTTTATGTTTAATAATAGCTGCGAAAAAATAAACATAATCTTTTCATTTTCATCGCAGAATATTTAAGATGACAAATATTGGCAGTAGTCTCATCTTGCATATCCCTCGCTACACATAGAGTGTGCTTCTCACAACCCTGAAAAAAATCCTAGAGCAAGGGAAAAAAATCAATATAGGCCCATACTCTTGTGTTTGTGCAACCGCAAAGTTAGTCAAGTTGAAGGCGAAAATCGTAATAATAATCCTTTAAATAAGAACCTGCTATGTGTACCCCCATGTGTGAAAATGCAGCCGCCA